ACGACCCTTCAAAGCGTGCCTACCAGGCTCCCCGGTTTCCTTTACGATTGCGTGTGCGCTTAATATGCCTCTGAATAGATGCGCGTCAGTCGCCGGGGAAACCATCCTCATGGTGGCGCCGCGTCAGTCGCCGGGCGACCATCCTCGTGGTGTCGCCGCCAAGGAACCGCACTCCGCTGTACGTACCCCCGAGCCGTGCTCGATACGCCTCACCTGCCGTGCCGGCGTTAGTGTGCCTGACCATAGAATCCTTGTAGCCGTTGGTACTCCCCACAGCTTCCCTGCCTTCTCGCTCGCTCTCCGCTCCACTCGCCGGCGGCCATGTCGGCGTTAAGGAGTGCGTGATCAGATAATCCTCGTAGCCGTTGGCACTCCGCACGGATTCCTTAGCTCACTTCTCGCCCACTCTCCGCTCCACTCGCCGTCCGTCGCAGTCGACGACTGCCGTTCGCGCCTCTCGGCTCTCCTGCCAGCGGCGCGCCCGTTCCTACACTCCCCTTCGCACCACCCCTAGTCAGGGTCTGCCCCGCGTCTGTCGGCGGGGTGATTTATCTATCTCCGACCCCCGTCTCCCTTTGCTCCGGTCACGTTCAGTGGCGCCCGGGCAGGGTCCTAACCTTCCATAGCCGCGTCGCCGCTATGAGTTGATTTGTAGTGCCAACCGCGCGGTCTCGGATGGCTCTTTGGCTGCCAGAGGCCCTCCCGGAGGGAGCTCGGGGCCGCCGATGGGGCATTGTTTATCCTCCCAGTCAGTTGATACCACAGTCGGCCGACCCTCCGACCCGGGCCGACGGCCGCGCCGCAGGGGTGCGATTGGATGACCCCGTTTCTCCCGGTCCACACATGACTACGATAAACAATGACCGACCCGGCGGCGGTCCGAAGTCCCGGGTCAACATAGGTCAAGGTCGCGCTCCGATCCTCTGGAAACGACAATACTGGTATCGTAAATTTACGGCTGAGGGTTGAGTTCGTGCGATACTCGTATCGATATCGATCAAAGGGCGGGGCGGGGCGGACCGGGCGTGCCACGATATAGCTGTTGTACGTTTCTCAAATAGGATCGTCTTTGTGTTCTTCATCACAGAGTGTGCCAGGCAAGGAGGGCTCAACGTAGCCGGCTTTGTTTATCTTACAGGCCCTTACGGAAAATGAAAGGCATCACGCAAGAGTAAGTTGTGGATGAAAGAGTATCCCTACTGTAAAACTTTCATACTGAAGTAGTTAGGTGTATAAACAAAGAATACCAGTCTATATGACGTTTACATTAGGATAAGTTAACATTCAATTATAATTAAAATCAAAATTATACAAAATGAATACCTATCTTTCGAACACTTTCATCCATCTGTTAAAAGATCAAATTGAATGGAATGCATTTTAGCTCTAAATGTAGGGATGCATAGTAGGAATTGACGTTACCGTCTTTACGCTGGTACAGCCGGTACACCAGAAAAGTTCGAATTAGCGATGGCGATTGATAGATTCCATTACTTGCATTCATATACCTATCTATAAGTTTTGCAGAAAGGACGCGCGGCAATAAGGAGACCTGGCGCAGCATGGACATTCTCCCCTACCTAACGATTTAACCCTCGCCGGACCTATTGGTTTTCTACATACGCGCCGGTCGAGGGGGGGGGGGGGTACGACGGGTAAGACCCCCCTCGCCGTTTCGCCCCTGGTGCAGCTAGCGCGTCACGGAAAAAAATGAGCGTGTGCGCCGTTACAAGACGCAGAGGTTGGTACCCGATTTTAAGGCCCTAGGTCAACCGGTGACCTCTGAGGTCAGGTCAAGTGTCCCAAGGTACGGTTCAGTTTTTGGTGAATAACGTCGCCAAAAACGGCCGCAGAGCCGCGATTTTGGCAGCATCGTGTTCGCCTTGCTCAGGCGCGTCGAATGATATACTTTTTGTTTGGGTCAGGTCAACTTAGAGTGTTGACCTCAGGTCACGGCTAGGTCAGCGCCCTCGGGTCACGAAGCTGGTCGAAAGAGGTCATGTCGCATATCATTCGATTCGGCAGGTCTTCCTGAGTCCATTGGTGGCTTTCCCGACTCGCTAGCTCGATTTGATCGGGAGTTATTGACGAAAGACTAGTATGAACTTGATGACGTCATAAATGACGTCACGCAAGGTCAACATTGCAAAAGTGACGCATCTAGCCTTGCAAGGAGTGCATCAAATCACGATTCTGTGTGCTTGAGATAGTTGGAGATCGTTCCCGGCACCAGAATAGCAGTTTTCATTTTTCCCCATTGACTTAAAGGTAATGGTGAGGTCACGAAACTAACTTGACCTCATATGACCCTCAGGAAAAAAATCCGAGATATACATGTTGTGATACTCGTAATGGATACTAGATCCTGCAAGTTTCATTTCCCTGTGAAAGCTCCTCTGGCAGTGAGGGCGTTGCGAAGTTGCGACATCTGAAGACCGTGCAGAGGTTCACTTATGACGTCATAGGTCAGTGACCTGATCTGACCCGAAAATGTGGTTGGTGTCAAAAGATCCGGCTTGAATCAAAGGTCAGTTATGCCAAGTTTCAGCGTTCTATCCCCAGCGTATTCGGAGCTATCGCGAAAAAAAAACCTATGGGGGGGCGGCACCCCCCTCGGCCGGCGAGGGTTAAGTTATTGGGACTGTCACGGACAAAATATTAACGCACTGATCAGGTGGAAATACCTATGCCATTTTCTGTAAAAAATGTCTTTAATTGACTAAAGTGCAATGCAAAACCTCTAAAACTCATATGGTAATATTTAAACTGATCGAACGCACCGATATTGCATTCCTAAGGGCTTCGACGGATTTGTGAGCAATATGGCTTCCTTATGTAAGCTACTGACGACGTAACATCAAACCATACCGCCCACAATCGGCGTCGTGTCCCTAGTGGCAGGTCTCCATGACTGCTGACGGAGTCGCCGGGCGCGCAGTTAACCCTGACCCGGGCGCGCCGGGGCGGCCGCCACCGGCGCGCCCGGGCGTTGCCACAACACGAGAGCAGTGCTGACGTAGCGGGCCGGCGTGCTGGCCGGGCGCGGCGACCCGCTGGGTAACCGTCGCGCCCTCACCGGTGCGTCGATCGATCCTGCTCACTCCCGGCGGCCGGTCGCGACGCGGCGCGACCGCCCAAATCACAGTCGCGCCGCCAAAGGGACCGCCAGGGTACGGCTGCTGGGGGCGGAACAGGAGCTCCGACTGAGGCTCGGAGGAAATCTCAAACCACACGCCTACGTACCTATTTGGACACCTTCGCGTAATAGGTGCTGGATGCCGCGCAAGTCGCGACCAGATAATTAGCATTTATGGTTGGATTCATTCATTAATGTGGTGAATAATTTAGGCAAAACGATTAGTTAGATGATTAGACATTGAACAAATAAAAACAACGAAAAAAAAAATAAAAAGCTTACAACTTAGGATCATCTGGTACAGGCTCTTTTATCATTGCGAAGTCACAACCAGGGATATTTTGCAAACAAATACGGCGTTCTCGCACGACGTTGCCGGTTGCTGCGTGACGGTAATGACGACGTGCATAAATTGCAGTTTGCACCAAACAAGTCTAAACTGTCATTATATCAATAATTGGAGCTCACACTCGTGCAGCACTCACAGGTTTCGTGATAAGATCACGACAGACGTGAATCATCCTCATTCATGGACCCCGGCGCAAAGTATAGAGTCCCTTCCCTCGCCAGTTAGCGCTCAAACCATAGCACAGTGGGGACAGCTCAGCTGTGCCACGTTGATGGCTTACGTGTCGCGTGCGACGGCGTCGTTCCGCCACCCCTCCCTCCCCCTCCTACCGACGTCAATCTGTCGATGCGAACTGCCGGCTGAGGTTGGTTGCCCCCTCCCTCCCCCTCCTGGGCGAGTGAAAAACGTCGTGCACCCCGGCCGCATCGATTGCCCAGCGTCGGCCATGCATACATACCATCGGCCATGAGAGACCTTGAGACACGCAGGGAGAGTCGACTCGGCCAGCGCGATACCGACGAACACAAGAGGCCGCAGTCAACTATCGAGTTGATTTAGGATGATTGGAACAATAAGGATTATCAGAAAATACCTATTGCTTAAAATAACGCTATCATCCTCCGTACAAGAAAATATGGTCATTGGTAATAAACGTGATATGTCTAACCCGTCTCTGCAATTTGCAGGCGTCAACACCAGAGCCCTTTAATTAGACAGAAACACCGTATTCACTATTCAGTCATTGTTATCGTCGTTCCTTCCATTTATCTGAAAGAACAAAGTTCGCCGGATGAAGTTATCCTCGCTAGAATTTAGCATTTCAATTTGGGAAAATTCTTATTTCATTCCTTCCCTTTCATTCTCCGAAAGATTCCTCTGTTTCTGCTCCTTCACGGGTCAGGTTCCCAAAATCCTCCTCACAGAGTCCTGGTTATCCCCATTATTCTTGCAACTCTGACCTGCATCCCGTGGTCCTCCATGCATCTCCTGGGACCCCTGGTCTGGTCTCTGTGGTCTGAACAGTGGACACCCTGTTTCCGGTCCGTGGTGGTCTGTTCTCCCCTGGTCCCCTGGTCTGGTCTCAGTGGTCTTGTGTCAGGTCCGTGACGGTCCGCCGGCGCTGGTCCGGCTCCGTCCTGGTCCGTCCCGTGTCCCCTGGTCCCCCTGGCCTGGTCTGGTATCGGTGGTCCAGACCGTGAAGAGTCAGCCCACCGGTGCAGGTCCTGGTCTGTCCCGCGCCCTATCTCCTTGGACTGGTCCGGTCTGGTCTGATCTGGGTGATCCGATCCGTGGCGGTCCGCCGGCGCGGCTCCGGGTCTGTCCCGATCCCCTGATCCCTGGTCTGGTCTGGTCTGGTCTGGTCCGGTCTCGGTGGATGGTCCCTGGCGGTCCGCCGGCGCGGGTCCGGGTCGGCTGCTGGTGACCGGCTGTTGACGCCGCCAGTTACTGCGGTGACCCGACCAACGGCTCGATAGTGTCCGGACAACGGGTGGCCGCGGGCCGACACAGGGGCCGCGCCGGCCGGCCGGGCACGGGGCCATAGAGCGCGCCCGCCACCTCCAGCCGACGGGACCAGAGCCGGCCGACTCTGCGCCGGCCGCTATGTGAAGTGGCGGCCCGGCCAACACCGCAACACGCAGAGCAAGTAAGTGGGCGATACTCCCGGCCAACACCGCAACACGCAGGGCAAGTAAGTGGGCGATACTCCCGGCCAACACCGCAACACGCAGAGCAAGTAAGTGAGCGATACTCCCGGCCAACACCGCAACACGCAGAGCAAGTAAGTGGGCGATACTCCCGGCCAACACCGCAACACGCAGAGCAAGTAAGTGGGCGATACTCCCGGCCAACACCGCAACACGCAGAGCAAGTAAGTGGGCGATACTCCCGGCCAACACCGCAACACGCAGAGCAAGTAAGTGGGCGATACTCCCGGCCAACACCGCAACACGCAGAGCAAGTAAGTGGGCGATACTCCCGGCCAACACCGCAACACGCAGAGCAAGTAAGTGGGCGATACTCCCGACCAACACTGCAACACGCAGAGCAAGTAAGTGGGCGATACTCCCGGCCAACACCGCAACACGCAGGGCAAGAAAGTGCGAGAGCAGCAAAACCAGCTAAACCACAACAGGTAGAGCAAGTAAGTGCGAGAGTGACAACCTTGCAAAACCACGTCGAGCAGACAAGTCAGTGCGAGAGTGGCAAAATCAACTCCAAACCAAGCAGTCAGAGCAATTTCCAAGTATGACTGTGAGGCGGCAATTGGTCAGAATGAAGCCGATCGGTGGCCACAATGTCCTGTGTAGTCGCGAGGTTGGATGAGACAGGTCACTGACGGGACTTTATAGATGCTATGAAGGTGATCAATGCAGTAACAATAACATATTGCAGGAGCTATCAGTGGCGACAACGTATTATCCCACAAAACATTTTGGAGCGACAGGCTCACTTTCTGAAGGGGGGGGGGGCGGGCGCCCGGACTACAGTGGTCATCGGCGAGGCTCACTTTCTGAGGCGTCGGTGATTTATTATGGATTACTATATTTTAGCGCTATAGGTAGTGCCGCTTCGTTCGGGCGATGTCCAGAAAATTAGTTTCTGTTACGCTTGAGCATACCTATAAAAAGTTTTCAGAATCTTTTTTCGCATTAATCGATTTAGTTTGTCTTCCATTAGAAATGTATGCAATTTCAAGTGTTAAATCGCTTGAGCCACCATTCGTGCACAACGTTGATCTTGCTGGCGGATTAGTTGATCATACCAGATGAACCCTGATAATGATGGCTGAAACGTTTTACCAGAGAGATATGTTACCTACTGGCTGACATGAAGCATGAAATCTACTTCCCTACTTATATATTGCTGCACTCTATAACTTATTTATTTCTCTGGTGATGAACAACCACTTCTTGTGAATAACCACTTTCAATGTGATATTTCCAAATGAGACAGGCGTAGCGCCATAACTAACAAGCTCAACTTAATGGTATCGTATCGCATCGTGTCGTAATCCTCGATGCTAGCTCTCAATCAACACAAGAAGCTCTTTTTATGCAACAAATTACTAAGATCTCAAATTGTGGACAACTCTCAAAGCACCATATAAACTAAACCTAAGAATAAAAAGTGGGATGATACCTACGCTAACGTGAAAACTTGTGCGGAACAAATATGCATATAAGATACAATAGGTACATATGTGTGACGGGACGGGACATGGCAAAACAGTCGGTGTCGTCAGCGTTACTCAGTGTGTGACGTCAGAGCTGACACCTACCTCCGCGGCCTTCGCCTGCGGCGATAGCAGCGGAGGGGGGGGGGGGAGGGGGAGGGCACCCCTCTGCAACAGGGAGGGCGGGTATGATCTTTGGAAGACAACACTCATCGGATGATCGCCGAGCTTCCATAGCAGACCCAAGCATCGTGCCCTCTAAGCAGGATAAGCCTCATTTATTTGACCGGGAATTAAAAATTGTCCAAGTTCTAACATACAGGGTGTTGCAGATAAATCCGACACTTGAGAGGCAAAATACGAAATCGGCAATGAAAGCATGAATATTGCACACACAGGCCTGGCATTTTATTCAGCACCAGTTCGAGTCATATGCTGCACTTCTACTCGATGTAACCACCGTCGGCGGCGACGACCATCTCAAGCCGCGGGCGAAATTATTCGCACGCCTTGGCGACCGGGTCCTTGTCTACGGCGGTGAACTCTGCCACGATGGCGGCCTTGAGAGAGTGGACGGTATTGTTTGCGTGCTTGTTGGTCTTGGCCTCGATCACGCCCCAGAAGAAATAATCGAGGGGGTTGCAGTCAGGTGAGGAGGGCGGCCACAAGTCCGGCGACCAGTGGTGAGGGACGTTGTTGAGCAGCCACGCCAGCGTCGTCCTGGCCTTGTGCGCCGGGGCGGAGTCTTGCTGGAAGACGTAGGGGCGTCCGTTGGCGATCCTGTGTTTGTGTTTTGGGGGAGGCAATTGATCATAGAGATGTAACATACTGCCCAAACTTTTCATCGTGAGCATAGCACTCGAATAAACACGTTTTTTCCAAGTGTCGGATTTACCTGCAACGCCCTGTAAAATAGTAATTGATAATTTCCGCAGACGGTAAATTAATTGGGTTGCAGCAAAAGGCAAAATATACCAATTATTCTTCGTCGAATACACATTCTTATGATTGATATATGTAGAGCCGTATAAATAGCGTTCCTATATAATGGATATGGAGAAACATAGGTAATGGATAGATATAAGGAAAGAGAATGGAATAGACACACCTATAGGCTATAGGGAAGAGAGAGGAAAGAGGAGAGCGCGGGGAGAAAGAGAGAAAGAGAGAAAAAGATAGGGAGAGGGAGAGGGAGAGGGAGAGGACAGGGAGAGGGAGGGGAGAGAGGGAGAGGAAGAAAAAGAGAAAGAGAAAGAGAAAGAGAAAGAGGGAGAGGGAGATGGAGAGGGAGGAGGAGAGGGAGAGGCAGAGGGAGAGAGAGAGAGAGGGAGAGGAGAGAGCTTTGTTACTGTGGAAAGCTCATCACATTTTAGTTAATCCGTAAATGTCCAGCCGGCGGTAGCACGGCTGAACTGTGCCCGCCAGCAACCATGACGACCGGAGACTGCAGCTGATCAAGAGAAGATAACACCAGCGCTCGCAGGGTGACTGGCTCACCGGTCTCTCCGGTCTCAGTGCAATGAATAATAATGGCGAGTGACAAAGTCGGTGTGGTTTCTTTAAGGATAATACCTTTATATGACGGCAATAAGGCGGCTATTTATCATGTCTTGATTGCTTGGTTATTCGTTGCGCTGGGTTTCCATGGGCGAACGCGACGAACCATGGGTGAGGGGGAGGGTATTAGGCATTGACGCCTTGCGATTCCGCGGAACCGTTGGTCGTATAGAGTCGGAGAAGGCTGGAATCGAAAACCCTCCACATAGAACATTTTTGGGACCTTTGTAATGCTGCTTATGTTGAGGTGACAGGTTAAGTCAAGTTCAGCAGATGCCATAATCAAAAGTTTCGACGTTGCTCGCTTTCGAGCCCGGACGGCGAAACGTTTAGTTTAGCCTGCAGAACTATACGACTTAACTTTAAACCTAGAAAGAACAAGTACTTTAGTTGGAACATTAAGCACAAGGTCAGGTCACCAAATGCCATAATAAATCAGTGCCAAATACATGGGATCGAGGCACAGGTTCTTAATTGTCTTCATTTTGCTCGTAAGACACAGCAGTATAGGACAATTCAGTGATTAGAAATGGTGAATTATATAACACTTTAAAGGCTTGCAGGAGCTACTTTAAATAATTTTCATTATTCCTAAAAAAACAGTAAAACATTTGGTGCGAATTGGTCTTCAAAGTATGTGGAAGCTGGAGCAGCAGCTCCAATTTGCACCTGATAGACGATGCTGTTGCTGTAACCGCCCAGTTGAATTGGAACCAGGAACGTTGACCTCGCATGTTGCGTGTTACTCAGAAACTCGGACTATTCGATGCCACAAGGACGGGCGTTTTAGCGGCGAACGACACTCGAGAATAGACAACACCTGTCCCTCGCCCACCTATGGAATCACGGCACAGTCATAATGCAAAAGAAATATGGTATCGATCGAGTCGAAATGGCGGCAGACCTTGGCAATGTCATTGAGCGAGATTGCGGTGAATTCCATCCTATCACCCATCATTTGTAGAAAAGGATAGGCTCTTCCGATGCCATTTCTTTGGTTGCTACAACAAGCACTAAAACGTGCTATTTAGAAATCTGTTATATGATGTAAGCAGCCTACTTCAACATGAAAAGAATGAACGTCCCTTGCTGTGTTTCGAACGTTGCTGACGATTCTCCGCTGTTGCAGGCAGAAGGATGCGCGCTCTCGGGCTGGCTGGCACTCTGTTGGTCATCTCCGCAGCTCTCATTATCCAGCCGGCAATAACCGAAGCCGCCGAAGGTGAGCACGCACGATACGAGTCAGTGGAATCAGGGGTAGTCGGTGCATATTCTCCATAGGTGTGTACTTGTGTCATGCTTCATTGCACGTGCAAGGATGAGATAGACTCAGTGCGCACCATTTAAAATCTCTGAGTCACCGGATGAGTGACAAACCCAGTTGAGTTCGTGACATCTCTCCGCACCCCCGTGCAGATGTGGACGGCGGCTGGACGGTCTGGTCGCTGGGCGGTAACTCGTGTAACGCCACGTGCGGCACCGGATACTACCGAAAGCTGCGCACGTGCTCCAACCCGAGTCCGCAGGGCGCCGGCCAGCAGTGCCTCAAGCAGGACGGCGTCACCCGGGCCCTACAGGAGATATCCATAGCCGAGTGCAACACTCACCCGTGCGCTAGCGGTGAGTCTCAGCCAGCTGTGTTTGTACGGCATGTAGGACGAGCCGATTCCTTATGCGGTCATCTTGTGATCGTTCGGAGCCAGGCAGCGCCGAGCAGCAGCGGAGATGGCTGTAGTTTAATTTGCATTCTTCTTGATGGCTGATTGTTCTTATACATACAAGGTAACGGCATTGCCAGACAATGTCACAAGCCTGCTCGCGGAACAAATCTTCAGAGTTTTTATGCTATTAATTCTATGGACTGTCGGTGATTCAGTCAGTTGACTGGGTGTTGACGCGCTGCGTCTGACGATATTCTCTATTGCAGGCGGCTTCTCCGAGTGGGGTAACTGCACGGTGGAATGCAACATCGGAAAGCAGTTCCGGTATGCCATGTGTGGCGGCGAAATCTGCGCAGAGGGCACCAACCAGTACGTCGTGGAGGAGCGCGAGTGCAACACCTGGAACCGAAGCTCTTGCCCGAGTGAGTAACCGAGCCCAGGACTGTGTGAGCCCGTGCGCTATGACAAAATTATATGTAATCGGTGCCTCCATTCCCGATCTCGAGTACGTTTTTTACCCGTAACAAAGTGTCTTTGCAAAGTTTACTAAACAAAACCAGCTTACATATATTTTACGGAAACCGCTTTCTCGGTTTATAGGCTGAAGCAATATGTGTCCTTACCGAACCCATTTCATTGCCTGGTTTGTACAGAGCCCTGCTTAGAGTACGCCAAGAATTGTCCCGAGTATGCCATTTGCGAGGACAAGTCGGACGACACGCGGCCCAACCCCGTCTGCAAATGCACCATGGGTTATGAAATGAACAAGGCCAAAACCCACTGCCTGAGTAAGTGGTTCCGATCGCCGTATCAGACTTCATTGAGCACGTCTGGGAGTGAAACAGTCAGTCAATGAGCGAACTAGATATTGAGGCAATGGGAGAGGAAATGAGTCGGCAAATGAGTTAGAAAATGAGTGAGAAAGGAGTGAGAGAATGAATGGGTGGTGAGAGTAAGTGTCTGAGTGTGGAAGTGAGTGAACAAATGACTGACAGTAAATGAGTTAGTTAGACAGTGAGTAGGTAGCGAGCAATTTATATCTTAACCATCTTTTTGAATTTCCAAAGCGTTTAAGCATTATCTTGCATACAATGTGTCACTGTCGAACCCTACCATTCTATGCGGCAACTGCCGAGTCAGTTTGTGTTTGTGTGCTGTCTTAACCACGAGTGTACTGCGAGGTGCCCGTTTGACGCTGCTGCTGTGCGCGGACAGGGCCGCCGCCCACCACCCCCACCCCGCGGCCCATCCCCACATTGGCGCCCGAGGAGAAGACGGTGGCCGTAGTGGTCTCAAAGACCGCCTCCACGGTACTCATCGTCTTCGTCGGTGAGTGTGACGTCACAAGAGTCTGACGTCACTGGACGGTGACGGCAGTGGCATGCAGTCGCTGTTTAATAATGCACCCGCACTGGAGTAATAATGCTGCAACATGGTTTTTAGTTTGGGCGGTCGACCTACTTTATCGACCCTATAGCTGCACGTTAGCTGAACTTCACCTGCTTTGTTCCAAACGGGTGGACAGAAATGGGCGTCATAACTTAAATGGAATCGTGTTATTTTGCTCACATATTAGCACGCGAAGATATGATCCATCGAAAAGTGTATCCAGTATATCCTTATCAACAGCAAGACCCAAATAAGCACCTCCAAGTCCTAGCAGCCCTGCCTCCATCCCCAGCCTGGCCAATCAGTAGCTGCATGCACCATACTTTAATCGACTGAGCGCTGACCGTTGATCCGTCGTCTGCAGGGATCACGCTGACCTTGTTCCTGCTGCTGCGGATCATGTCCCCGGACCGAGTGATCCAGATGAACATGGAGATTGCCATCATCTCGGCACACATCTGCCTCATGTTCCCGCCCGAAACGGTCCAAGTGGAGGTACGAGTGGAGGGAGGGGCTGGCCGAAAGACTGTCTCATTAGAGGTACAGGTCTCGCGATTTTTAGCGGTAGGTTTTGCACCTAGAAAATTTAGTGTACTTCAGGCTATATCTTCGTCGTCTTAAGCTTTTAAGTGTTGAAGATGCGATCGACTTGTTGGGTAACAAGCCGGCCATGATCGTGTAAAATGGCTTCATCGTAGATCGATTAGTTTCTGAGATATAACCGGAAATGTAAAAGTGCAAAACCTACCGCTTAATCTCGCGAGACCTGTACCTACCAAAAGGGGGATGGGCGGGCAGACGGTTTGACGGGAAGAAATGGATGTGGGGCTGCCCGGGAGATAACCGGTGCTTCACAGACACCGGACAGCAGAGAATGAGATAAATGGGTGCCGGTTATCTGCGATTCCTCGAAGAATTTGATTCGGATGTTTGCTCGGATATCCAGACTCGTACGATTTCTGCATAAGCGTTTGCAAATCAGTCAAATTCTATGACAACCTAAATAGTAAGAACTTTCATCAATGCGAAGGACTCAAATGAGCCAGCCTAGAGGCCATTCGAATTCAAAGTCCATATACAAAGAGAAATCGTTTAGTTTTCTTTCTCAATTGATGCAGAAATCGAAAAGCGCTCAATTGACCACCCGACGGCTGTATGTTTTTCAGATATTATGCAGGATCATCTCCATCCTGATCCACTTCTTCTTCACGGCTTGCTTCATGTTCATGCTGCTAGAGTCTCTCCATATGTACTCCCTCGTTGCCTACGTGGTCAAAAAGGTGAGACAACTGGCCGTCATACACGCTATGTCCTGTGGGCCGTATTAGCTAGCATGATTCCAGAGTCAGACGCGAGGCGAGGCCAGCTATCAACAATCAACGAACATCACCCTGGGGCAACCAGAGTTTTATGCGACGCTAAGGAATCGAGCAACCTTGCTAGATATACAATGTACAAGCATGCAGTCTAAATACAGATTAGCGATGAAGATCAGCGGATAATGCCCCCTTGACATCGGATAATGAGTGGCTTTATGCATTTATTAATAACTTCAGTCAGGAAATGCCCGAAATGCAATACAATAAGGCATGTGAAAATGCGAGCATTACTCAAGTAACCCCCTGCTACCGAAAACAACAAGGGGCATAACATAGTCTACTGTCATTGAACAGCCTCCAGCCGAAGTCTATCGACCAATTGGCATGTGATACATAAAAGACGCATTGTGCTCGTCTTCCCTGCCACGGAAAGGCCTGCACACCGCCTCCACTGTTCACGGGTCAAGCTGTTCATCGCCTCCCCATGTTCAGAGAACACCTTCTCCCTGTTCACAGTCTCCACTGTTCACAGGTTAAGCTGTTCACCGTCTCCCCTGTTCACAGGACGACCTGTTCACCGCCTCCCCTGTTCACAGGGCAATATGTTCACCACATCCCCTGTTCACAGGTCAAGGTGTTCACCATCCTCCCTGTTCACAGGACGGCCTGTTCACGCGCGTGCAGAACACCCTGATCGGCTGGGGCCTCTCGGCGTTCATCGTTCTCGTGACGATGAGTTTCGAGTACGATAACTACGGCGGCGTCTACCACTGCTGGCTGCAGATGGACAAGCCGCTCTGCACCGGACAGTACATCCCCATCATCGCCATTATGATCATCACATTCACGCTGATCGAGGCGGCCGGCGCAGCCGACTACGCGCCGCTCAAAGGTACGGCGGCAGGGGGAAGGCGGGATAGGGGAGAATGGATGAGACAGGAGGACCAGTGGTTGATCTCAGATGTTGGACTCTTCCTTCGTCCTACTGGTTTTACAGCGGGAAGTACCGCACTTTGTGCGGTCCGGCTTTCAAGGAACTGACAATGATGGAGTCGGCCAATGGAAAATAAGGCCGAAGCGTGTGGTAAATATCGATGCAAAAATGCACGACACATACATACGTATCTAAAAGTGACAGCAGTTTTCTACGTACACATTTGCATGATATGGACAGCTTCATTCAGGTATTTGAGACACGTGTAAGTAAACATTCACCTCAAACGTATGTCTCTTTACCCGTTGAGCCCGGGATAAGCCTTTGAGCTTCAAGTTCACCCCTCCGTTTGCCCGCCTGCCGCAGAGGTGGACAAGTCTCAGCGGCTGTCGGCGCGCATCTCCCAGCGGTCCAATCTGATCATCATGCCGCTAGTGTTCGCCTCCTTCGTCATCGGCATGCTGAGCGAGTACGAGCAGGACCTGGCGCTCTACGGCACCTTCTCTGTCCTGAACGGCATCGTCGGCGGCGTCATCTTCTTCTTTCACTGCACCGGCAACCAGCAGGTGAGCGATGAGAACAAGGAAGCGAGAGAGAGGATTGGTCGGAGGGAGGTCGAGGGCTGCGCCGTGACACGGCGGGGTGATAGGGTGGGCCTGCATTGTCACTGGAACGCAGTGCCAGTATCGTAAATGTTGCGAGGAAAAGTGATGTTATATGACATCCTGTGCTGACTGCAGTTGCAAGTCGGCGTTGTGATCCAGTAATAGCGTGACATGACGCGCCCCTCCGTCGCCAGGTGCGGGCCAAGATGGTGCGCTGCTGCCAGATGCTGAAGCGCCGTCGCCGCCGCTGAGCGCGCCCGCCGCACGAGCAGGCTGTGCCCAGAGACCTCAGCCAGGCCGCAGAGCCTGAGGTGCCAGTGGGCGCGGCCCGTCGGCCGCCTCCTCCCGACAGGGACGGGAGCGGAGCGGCGCGAGCGGGCCCGGCTGCCCACAGCGCGCCCAGAGGCGGCGCGCCCGGCCGCCGGTACGGACCCCTGCTGCGGGTGCCGCGCCGCGGCACCAACAGCAGGGGTCCTGCCGTCCGTGTGAAGCCTATGTTCCAGGTGTAGAGAAGCCTGGTGACGCCGGCGCGCGGCGGGCGCCGGCCGCGTCCGCCGCCGCGCCGCAGACCCTCCGTCGCAGTCGCACCGCTTCAGGACGCGCCCCTCACCGTCTCTCAGACCGATGTCGTGTTTGTGTTGGTCGGCAGTCGGCGGTGGGTCGGCTCGCGGACCGAGTCGCCGGTGAGGCCGCTGCGCCCCGCGCCGGCCGCCGCGTCCCGCCCGGCGGTCCGCGCGCCCCCTGCCCAGCTCAGCCCGTCCGGTGCGCGGTCCGCCGGCCGGGACGCCCCGCGGCGCCCCCCGCCGCCCCGTGTGCCGTGCCGAGTGCGTGTGTTTTCTGGCGGCACGGCGCCGCCGGACCGGCCAGCTCCGCCGGTGGCAGCAGCGGGGGCCATCCCGCCACAGAGGCGTTTCCACACACCGGCGGAGTTGGCCCGTCCCCCGGCCGCGCGCGGGGCCACCAGCCGGCCAGACACCGGCGACCGCACCGCGGGCCGACCCGCCGGCCCTCCCGCCGGGCCCAGCTCAAAACGATGTGAATTCTCGCCCCCGTCCGGCGTCAGAGTTCCTTCCGTTCCACGCCGCGGGCCGCCTCTGCAGCTGTCGTCTGTCCTGTCTCTCTCCGCTCGATTTCGACTCTCCTTTCGTCTATCCTCGACTGTCCTCTCGGCACCGCCGGCGGTCTGCGAGGCACGTGTACATCCCCAGACCTGATCAAATATCGGGGACCGCCGGCCGCGCCTGTCCCGCGCGGACCCGACCCGGCCCGAGCCGCCGTCCCGGCTGCATATATGAGACTGGGTTGCCAAGCCGTACCATCCCGAGAGGGGGACGGCGGCGGGCGGGGTCAACCCTCACCCTCCACACCTCAGTTTCCGGCGGTCTGCGGCAGCGTTCACTAAACTCATGTGCGTCCCATGATAGATAATTGCGACGTTTTCTCCCTCATTTGTGAATAAATATTTGGTTGGAAGATGCCGTGTAAACTCGTTCACTAATAAAGAAAACCCTGATACTGGTGTGCGGTTAGAAGGGAGTTCAGAGAATCAAGGCCCAAAATACGCGATGATCTTACTCAATGCACTGATATATTCATGAAGAGATCCGTTCAAAAAAATTACCAGCTCACTAGAAGTGGATATACAGCCACGAATAAATAAGCGATTAACAAAAGTAGCAACCAGGACAAAACAATTCCAAAGTAACAGCCAGGGGCCCAACAGCTAACAACGCCCCGACATCCAAACTTCACAGCCGTCCGAACCCACCGTTCTCTGATCCGCAGAACCACTTGTCGATCTCCTCCTACCAGGCGTGTCCCATGAACTTCCCAGCAAACACGGCCGCCGGGTAGTGTTCCTCGAGCGCGAACATATCCAGGGTGGGTCTACCGGCCACCGCCAGTTGGGTGGCCAGTCCTTCCATATTGAACACCTCCAGCGATGCGGCCGGTCCCACGCTGAGTTCCCCGCGCGGCTCGAAGCCGCTCGGACCGCGGTACTCGAGGTACACGGCGCGTCCGTCGGCGGTCAGACAGGCCAGCAGTAGCTGCTCGGAGGGCAGGGTCAGCAGGCGGGCGGCGCGAACACCCCACACCGGCACCGTCTGCAGGTGTCGGAACTGACTCCAGGCCGGCTCCAGCCTGTCGAAGAACAGAAGGGGGGGGGGGGAGGTGTTAGAACCGTGCTGGGGAGCGAGAGGGGAGAGGTGCAAGAGCTGGGACGGGGACGAGCCGTAATGGACGACGGCAACGTCAGAGCCACTCACAACAGAACTGCAAAAAAGATAGCACATATGGCAGCGATAGTACCTGCACCCAAAAAATTCACTAAAGCATCAGTTGCTAGCCTATTTTCCTGTAGCCTGCCAATAACTATCAGTCCACACCGGCCATCTTCTGTCCACCGGAGCCCCTCATACTTACCCGTAGATGTCCACGAGGCCGGTCAGTTTTCCCGAGTCGGCTCTGGTTACCGCCAGCAGAGTCCGCCCGCCCAGCTGGGCCGTGGTGACGCCCACCGCAGCGGCAGCTATGGTTTGTCTCCGGGTGAGACGCAGCAGCTCAGGGTCCCAGCACCACAGGTCCACCCGACCGCCGCCGGCTACCGCCACACACACGGAGCCAGACGCGGAGTATACAGACGCCTGGGGAGGAAGAGAGAGATGGTCAGCAACCACCACACACACGGAGCCTAAGACAGTACAAGGACGCCTGAGGAGAGGGGAGGGGAGGCAGAGTACACGGACATACTTCATACATAATTGCACCACAAACTTTCATAAAAATCGCATTCAACCTCTACACGACCTTTTCCAAGCATGAGTACAAATCCACCCCAGTAGCAAGATTGCCCTCGCAAACATTTGTGCGGCCTAGTATACCTCACGAACGATTAAACACACGCTTCCAACGCCCCACCCATCAAATGTCCGCCACCCCACTCACCTGTCGTGCGCGGTAAGTCGGTAGGGTCTGATGGACGACGAAGCCGCGCTGGCCGGCGCTGTGGCAGACCAGGTGGGAGCCGTTGCCGGAGAAGTGGACGAACAGGAAACAGTCGTGATCCGGAGATGGCTTCAGACTCTAGAAGAGAGAACATTTGGGTTGAAAGACACACAGAACAAATCGGTTTATAATAAAGGTCTCAGACGTTTTAAAAACTGTTTTCAATGTAAAGTTTATAATTAGGCGGTTGCTAATAGTTTGCTGTAATATTTTTATACGAAAAGTCAGCAATGTAAACATCTTTACGTCCAGCTAAAAAGCATACAAGCATCGAGGCTCTTCTATGACGCCAAAAGGAAGCTGTGTGCAGGACTGGCCTAGCGCGTACCTTGACATCGACCGTTTTGTGGCTCGGCATGGCCAGCGACTGCGTCAGGACATCACGGTGGTACAGGAAAATGTAGTTCACAGCATCACCGAGCTGGCTCAGAGCTGAAAGAGACAAGAACATGCATCAACAAATATAATGGAATTTGTGAGCGTCACCGACCTGCTACCGACGACCGTAAACACAAACGTTTAAAGAACACATTTCAGACATTCTACCACCTAGCTCAAGCCCAATAATTAATTCAATGCCACCATCAACAAGCAATTAGTTGACATTGAAACTGCAGCTATTGACACTTGCGATTACCCCCCCCCCCCCCCCCCCACCTCTCTACAGACGTACCGGGGTCGTCCCAGCGGTAGACCCGGTCTTCCACCTGCTGTCCTCTGGCCGGCTCGGCCAGCCGCGCCTCTGCTATGTAGGCGGTGCCGTCAGCCAGCCGCAGACCGGCCATAGCGGCTACACGGCGCTCCGGGTACCGGGGGCCTGAAACACCACACAGGTAATGTAGGTAATATAGGTAACACAGGTAACATAGCGGCGACAAGGCGCTCCGGGTAACGCGGTCCTGAGACCAGACAGGTAATATAGGTAAGGTAACACAGGTAACATAACGGCTACACGGCGCTCCGGGTGTCCGGGGTCCTGCAGTGAAAACAGACAGGTAACACTGACCACAAGGCGCTCTGGGTACCGGTGACCGGGTGGGCAACACAGACACAGGTAATACAGAACACGGACACGGGTAAAATGGACACGGACATAGGTAAACTATAGAACACAGACACAGGTAACACAAACAACCCCCCATGAACACAAGATGCCTACCGTCCAGCCTTAAACGACTCACGGCATTCTTCAATCGGTCCACCCTGACCCGCCCAAACCATTCATTCATCGCCCTCACTAAGACACCACGCCCCCCCCCCCCCCCAGAGTAACATACGGTGTCGTCCAACCAATCTCAGCTCTCTCAGCCGTCCGTACCATCAATCCACCGTCCGAAGTTGTCTCCCGTCCGCCAGCGGAGCAGCTGCACTCTGTCCGGCCAGACGGCCAGTAGGAAGGCCGGGGGTGCCGCAGCTCCGTCCACAAACACAGGCAGCAGGCGGACGATGTCGGACGACCAGCGCTGCACCGAGACGAAATACTGCAGGTAGCTGGCGCGCTGCAGTTGACCTGAGCACACAGAGGGTGAAAGAATTACAGCAAACAAATTAAACACATGCATACTCATAAAACGGACCACCTACTGAATAATTGAAAATGGAAGGTTGAAATGAAATAATATAAAACATGGACAATTTGAAAAGACCATGCACCTGTGAAATAACTCTTGAACATTTGCATGCATACAAGCGCCATGAAATCACTACTAATCATGCAAGGAAAATCAATGTTTCTTAGTCATGAGGCGCTCGATGGCAGCATTTCCCAACAGCGCTCTGGCACGCGGCGGCCGCCGGCATCATACCTCTAGCTTCCTGCAGAGCCCGGTAAATGTCTCTGAGGACGGTCAGGTGCTCGTCAGCTGTCGTCTGGTTCAGACTGCCGAGCTGCTGGAGCGCCCACAGCACCTGCCGCAGCAGCTGAAAACGGCAGGGGCGAAACACGCGGTCAAAACGTGCACTTGAGCGCTTTAAAAGAAGTATGCCGGGTGCAGGGAGTGCTTAGGGACTGGGTGGGCTGTCCTAACGGACGGGCTCAGCCCGGCGACTCCCTAAGGTACCAGCTTCCCGAGACAATGTCTCCCCTAATTCCTACCATCCTCCCAGCCCTCAAATGGTCTCATCGGACCGAAAGGGCCTAACCCAACAAAACACAACAAAACAATAATGGTGCCATAAACTGAGAATGCCTATTGCCTAAGCGCCGTAAACCGATAATTGTAATGTCATTCGGGAAAACAGACACAGCCGAGTAGACTCCGAACCCTTTCCGATGTCCATAAGCCACATTTTCACAACCGCGTCCAACAGTCCAGCCGCCATACCTCTGCCATCCGTTGTTCAGCATCCGTATCGTCGGCGTAGTATCCGAGCATGGCTGGCACGTGAGTGAATGTCCAGCGACCGTTGACGACCAGGGCGGTATCACTCTGCGAGGCCAGGCCGGCCACTCGCACCTGGGGAGTGGGGAAGTTATCAGCCTGGTACAGGGACGGTGGAATAAAGACAGACACAGTCACACAGGGAATATGGGGAAGTTTGCCACTCGCGACATTAGACTGGAACGAACACCTGCTTTAGTGGTTGTATGGACAACAACGCCGATGTCATTAACGGGTTATGAATGTTCTTTTTCAAGGCGAAGTAAACAAAATGTTACCCAGAAATCATCAAAGCCTAGCAAGTTAAGGAACAGCCTC